AAAAACAAAGGACGGGGGAGGGCAACGAGAACAATGCCAAAACAACGACGGAGTCAGAGCCATAGATAAAGCTTAGATGCGCAAAGCGTATCGAGTTTCTATTATCTCTGGGAGAACGTCGCGACGTCTAGGAGTCGAAAAGTTTTTACGCAAAAGACGGCGAACTTAAAAATAAAAAAATAAATACCACGAAAGCATAAAGCAAAAGCGCCAGGAGCGCCAACAGCGAGCAGCCAACAGGCAGGAAGGCAGGAGCATTCACGGCATCCTCACACAGGAGCATAATGAAGCGCGTCATTATCCTTAAGATACATAAACAATGCCGGCGAAAGCAGCAGCTGACTAAAGCTAGTGCAGCTGCATGGGATACACCGAAAAAAAATATATCAACTCAGCACTAAATGAAGGTTGGCTTCCAATCAAAGGATTATTCTTCAATAACTATTTTCTAATTCTAATAAACTTTAATTTCATAATCTTTAACTGATTTAATTGACCATATAGCAAAAGAAAAATTGTAGTTTTTCGTACACAGTGGAAGTTTGAAAGCAGTTAAATAAAAATATTTCTGGTGTACACCCCTTTTCGAGATGCATTTAAAATTACAAATTTCTTTGATTAAAAGGGGCGCACTTTATTAAACTGCTATTCACTTGTAAACATAAAACGTATGCTTAAACCAGTTTTATTTTCAGCACGATTCCTCTATTTATTGACAAAATAGTTAGCTTTTCACAAAGATTTTCTAAAAAGTGATCCTGCATCGCATTTTAGAGAAATCACCTAATTACAAACTTTTTTTTCAAAGTATATAGTATATAGCTAAACTATAAGCCGAACAAGCGGCAACAGAAACAACAATAGACAGCCGGGCAAGCGAGTGGAAAATACTCCGGCATTGTTTCTGTTCAGTGCTTAATTACCAGGCAAAAGTTCTATAGTTCCTTAAACTGGGCGAAAGTTTGCGGCATGCGAGGATTGGACAATGTGACATTACACAATTACCTTTTGGATTGCAGTTAAAATGCCAGCAAAATATGTTGATGAAATCCAGAGAGACGTTTTCGAGTTCATCTCTGTTTTCATCTGACCCCTGTTTCGATTATGGAATTCTCAATTAGCTTGCATAAACATTATTTCATCGGCCAGACACAAACATGTGCATGTGGGGCAGCTGGTTGGGCAAAATAATGAATTTAATCGAAAAAGTGCATAGAATAATATGCATGGGGAAATATTTTTAATAGATCGTTTTAGTGGCATCCTTTTGTGCATGCCGCTTGCAAGTTTATTTACTGAGAGAGCGAGCACTTCTCCCTTTTTGTTTCTTGCCGAGCATTTATTGGTTTTGAATTTTAATTAAAATTTGATAGCCGACGGCGCCAAAAGCAGCAGCTTGGGCCCGCACAAAAATACTGAAAACTGCAGGAGCGTAAGGGGTCGGATGGTCCTGATTTTATCTGGGTATTTACGAGTAAGTTTTCAGAGTCCATCCCCCTTTAATCTACGCCTCTGGCAGGACACTGACCAGAAAGCCCTCCCTTCCTGCCTGTTATTGTTGTGTAATATTGGCCATGGTTTTGTTGGCCAGCTGCATTTTCGAGTTACGCAGATATTTACGCTCTCGTTTTCTCAATAAAAGTTTATTAGGGCTACAAATGCAGCACTGTGGCAAGATGAGCAGATGACTGGTGTTTCGCGGGTGAAGGGAGTTCACTGTACCTGTGTGCCAATCAAATTACAGCCGTGGTTTACTGATCCCGGCTCAAAATTTCATTTGTATTAAGCTGGCTAAATTGTTTTGCTTATTATGTAGCTACAATGCTGCGGGCGATGATGCTGCTGCTTCTGCACGGTGCACATGGCGTATGAGTAATGTTTATATGAAAATTATGCAAAATGCATATTAAAAAAAGGTAAACCCCGCTTGTTGGCTGCTCTCTAAACGTTGGCTGCACTAAAAATGTGAGCCAAAAGCTTCTTAAGGATTAAAAACGTCAGCAATTTTGCGGTATACAAAAAATGGGAGGGCCACAAAAAAAAGGAGGGGACAAAGGCAACAGCCACAAAAATATTTAATAAATTTTACAAGTAAATAAGGACCAACAGCGGCAGTCAGGCAGGCGGGAAAAAGTTGTAAGAACTGCAAAGCGCAGGATTTTTGTTGTCCGTGTTGCTGTGGCATCGGGAGGGGGAGGGGGCAGCCAAGGGTTAAGGGGTCGCCGGATGCCACATGTTAATGATAGTTGGCCAAAGCCGCAGCTGCAGCAAATCTGTTGTGCCACACGGTGGTTGGCTGGTTCCCATGGGGAATGTGAGGCCCGGGGGCTTTGTGTGCCTTAGTTGAGTGACATGTAAATAAAAGTAAAGTGCGTTCATGGTGACGACAAAGTGAAACGACGACGGATGCCGGTGAACGGCACATTTGGCTTTAATGCTGCATAATCGCCAAACAATTTCATCCCTCGCACTCAGCCGCTCCCGTATTTCAGACCTTAGCCTTTTGATTTTCCTGCCAGTGTCAACAGTTTTTGCAAGCTGCACGCAGGGCCATAAACACACACGCTTCAGCCGAAGGACATGGAGAAGGACTCTTCTCTTCTTCAGATCTCGGGACTATGCTATGTGCTATGTGCAGCTCGCCGGTCGGCCCGGTTTCGGGTCACTTAAGTTTTATGTGGCGAAACGCGTTACCAAATTGCGTTCAAATTGCGCACGCAGATAACAGTTTTTCATTACGGCACATAAAAGCGTTTGCCATTGTCCTGGACGCCCTCTGTTTTGGTTGTTGTTGTCGTTGTTGTTGTTGCTGCTTTGGTCCTGCCAAATTGTTACGCCAACACGTGCCGCACTTTGCAGCTCATGTCAGCAGACAGGAAGATCCACATCCACATCATCGGGACAGGCCAAAGCGAAGGCAAACCCAAACGCAACGCACAGCACAGCAACAGGCACAGCTTTGTCCAGTTTAACGCTGGACAGGGACACTTCGCACTCCAATATCCCCAGGACACCCAATCCCTGCCCACATGTCGCCGTCACATCGCTGATGATTCCATAGCACTTAGATTAGAAGCATTCGAAAAACCTAACTCAAAGAAAAGCAGGGGTAGGTTGCCTTTAATTCCTGGTAACCGTGCTCTTCAAATTCGTTTCCATGTTCACACTTTGTGGCAAAAGACTCAATTCCAGGAAATTGTTTCCTCTTTTTCAGGAGAATTTTTTAAAGTCGGCAGCTTAGTCTTAAATAGGGATTTTTATTTTTCATACATTGTCTTTAAGCTTTATTTAAAATGTTGTTTCTTTTTATGCAGAGTGTCAAAGGTATTTCACAAGAGGCTAGAGGATGTAAATTCCATTTTTTTTATTATTTGGCACTTCATTTGAAATCTGAAAATTAAGTCCATTCGCAGAATTAAGCTTATTTCACCATTTTACTTTAAAACTTAAAAGACTTTCACTTCATATTTTTTGACTCACCATTACTGAGAACATAATATAAAAATAAGCTGGCAAACCTTTCTTCAATTTTCAAATTTATGTAATTTTGTATTTATATAGTGGCCCATATATGATTATTTCATTCTTAATCTTTTTTTCAAGTGCAGACTGGCTTTCAAAAGGCAGAGCCGTGCTTATTTACTGGCGCCAGTTGGCGGACAAGTTAATTTTTCAACAGCCTAAGCGGTCGGAAGCCAATTCAAGTCGCCCGATTCTGATTTAAATATGTCGCTGGCAACCACAGAAAAAAAAGGCGAATCGGAAGCTGCAGAAATACCAACATTATTTTATGCGGGGGCACGAGATTGATAGGCGCCCGTCGAGACTCGTCTGCGATTCGCTTTGGCCAAAGTTTTTGGCTGCCATTGTGTAGCGTGCTTTTAGGCGCTGACAATGAAAAAGTTTTGTGCTTATCATGCGTGCAAGTTTCGGCGACGTTTTAATTGAAAAATACTTAGCAAAGTCGACTCTCTCTCTTGAAGAGAGTGCCAAATGGCGAGCACTTTAAGGCAGCTGTTCAAGTGCACACTGCACACGGCACACGCATCCTGGCAGGATAACACCTTCGCGGATGCGGCGGTGTCCTGCGAGCCAATATATAACCTCCAATTTAATTGCTGGCTTAAGTGGGCTGGCCCACTAACCTACTCCGCTTCTTCAGCCCGGCCGACAAGCTCTCTCTTTTCGGCGCCTTCCGCTCTCTCTCTGGGCCACGATGACAACGTCGATGGTGTTTTTAATTTGGTCGGGATTAGGATGGGGGTCCGTGCTTAATTTTAAACAACTTCGAAGAGAGCGAAGACAGGGATCACGTCCTGTTTGGCACGTCTCAGGCTTTCTTATTACGCACTCGTAAAAAGAAACGGCTGCTCCTACTGACTTGTCCAACTCGTTCGGGATTATAGCCATTAACTTTGGCATTGCATATCGCTGCGTGACGTCTTTAGCGCGTGCAGTTCGGACCTGGCCTGTTTGTCACTGTAATAAACTTGGCAACAAATTGCCAGCCGGCGTGTCTTCTTCTGGCCTCCACCCCCTCCCCACGTTTTTTTTTTCCACCGACGTTTAACCCTTCGCTAGCATTTTGACACGCACGTGTCGAAAAAAAGACGCATACATTTTTAAGTGATTAAAAAAGTGCTCGTACACTTAAATTCGGAGCGCGAGTATGTGTGAGAGCGAGAGAGAGAGAGTCAAAGCAGACAATAAGCAAAAACATTTAAATGCGAGCAACGTGCAAAAAATAAATTGTTGTCAAAAAAGTTGCAGCCTCTTATCAGGCGGAACAATTTGGACCTGGCACACACTACACAGCATCCACAAGCGATGTGGTCCTTTTCCCAATCGTTTTGTAACCGAAAAACGAAGCGCTTGCGATCCACACACACGACAGGATTCGAGTTCGGCTTTTGGTCTGAACCGAAACAGCACTTCGGCTCTGCGAGATGCCTCGTTCCGCCGCGACTGCGAGTGCGAATCAGTTGAAAAAGGTCCTTCGTGCGGGTCGGTTAGTGTAACGGTGGTATTTCGCTCCCACTGCGAACAAATAAAATCAACTGGCTTGGCCCAAAAGTAAACAACAACAATAATTAAATAACATTTGTCCAGCGCTCGAGTGCTTCGTGTATGTTTTTAACTAACTGGCCCGATAACCGCTGGGGAATTTGGCATGCAAAAATAGGGAATAGAAATTATATAAACACGAGAGCCGGGGATTCAATGACCGCTGGCTGGTTGGTGAGCTAAGATAACCCGGCGATAACGCGGTCCGTGGTTCAGTGGCAATTTGCATTGATGAACTGTGTGCTCGTCGGCCGCCGTGAATAACTAAAACCGAAAGCAAAACCAAAAGCAATCCGTATCCCCGGAGCGGGGGCATCGATAATCAGAACCCAGGACCAGGATCGCAGAGCCTCCTGCCGATTATCCTTTGAAGTCCCCAGTGAGTGAGTGTGTCTCTGTCAGTGTGCAAAGTGTGAAAAAGCGCAAAATAAATATTAAAAGCGAAACGTGCGTGGATTAGAAAGCATAAAACCAACCGGCAAGCAAAGGATCAGAAACCACAACAACTACACTGCAGCCGGGGCAAAAGTGCTGAAAGGGCTGCTGAAGTATTCGAACGCGTTCGCCATAAGGTTGGTATTTCACATCATGTACAAGTACCAGTTCAATGCACTACCATCTCGCTTTTTGTTTTCTTTGGCTGGCTGTTTTTTTTTGTCGGTTCTTTCGTTTCTATTTTTATTAGGGCCGCGCACGTTGGCGCATAATTTACGCTAACTTTTATTTTGCCATCGGGCTATATACCTTTTCGCTTATTTCCCCTGGCAAGCGAACTGGAAAGTTCGGCGTACAGAGACTGAAATTTGAATTTTTCCGTTAAGTGGGTCGCTCCAGCTTGCACCTGTCAGAAGGCCCTTGGCCTTGGGCATTGGGCAGCGGAGCGAACATATGCCAACGGCCAAACAATCGGTTGACAAGCCCCCTTCTCTCTCATCCGATATCTGGGTCCCCGGGTCCATGTTGATTTATGACAATCGAAGACAGGGGATCCCCCGTCTGTTTACCCAAGTAGCCGGGGCAGGCGGCACAGTTTCCGTCCAACTGGAAACTAAATAATTATGTGGCTCAGGTGGGACGGCGGAGGAGCTCACATTCTATCCCCGCCAGCCACCGCATTTCTGCCTGAGTCGGGTTGAGTTTAACGAACATTTATGCGAGTGCGGTTGTTTATGCTGAGCCCGAGTTATGTGGCACTCAGGGGGCGTGGCAACCGCACACTCGCACTGGGGGCTCATTTCCCAGCCGCACTCATACGCCGTGTGGCACTCAGGCTGCTGTAGCAACAACGTTTGCATATGTTCATCAAGAATGAATTAAAAGTTATTTTAAATTCGTGACACTCGCCTAATTTTGCAGGTCCCCGAATCTCTCTGCACCGACAAAAAATGTGGGGTTCCAAAATATAGATTGTCTCGCAAAATAAGGTTTTATTCAGATGGAAATGTAAACGAAAAACAAATAAATATTTGAAAATTTAGTCAATCATTACAAACGATTAATTCCATATTCAATTTACAAATTTAAATAAACTAAATTAAATTTGACCAGAATCATAGTAAATTAATTGGTTTTTAAATTTGATCGAATAATTGTATTGATATGGTTTTAATTTCATTTACATTTATTATAAATTTAAATAGTTAAAAGCAATTGAATTCAATCTTCGTCCAATAAAATGTAATACAGTAAATTACATCAAGTCTAAGTTTCAAGCGTTAAATAACTAAATGAAATGATAAACACTTCTAGACAGATTTACATAAAAAGGTATCTTGTTTGGATAAAATATATTTTCAAGTATTTGAGTGCCATGCTCAAAGTTTAAATTGAAGTACCCCAGAAATCAAAAATGCAGTTTATCTTTGTTCCTAAATCTAACATTTGAATCTAGAGAACAGACCTTGATTTTTTCCCAGTGCATTTGTGTGAGTCGGCGGGCTTAAGCGAGTGTGCTGGGTCTGTCAGTTGTTCCCGGCGTTGCTGTGTTACTGTGCTCAAGTGGCGGAGGTGTCACCTGGCAGACAGGTATGCTATGCTGTCCTACTATGATGCTGCCACTCACGAGTTCTAATGTGCGCACACATATTGCATATAAGAATATGTACTCGAGTGCGGATATTTCCCCATTGGAGCCGTAGTCCCCTGAAGGACTGGGCCTGGCAAGTGAATTAAATTTCAAATGTTTCTTAATTTACTATTTCGGTTTCCCGTTGACAGTTCAAATTGCTATAACAAATTTTCTAGCGCTACGCACGCCACTCACTCATTCGTTCATTCATTTCACTTTGCTCACAGGCTCTGAGGGGGCGCACATGCATAAGTGAAATATTATGTACAACTGTCGGGTTTGTTTTTCCTTTGCGCTTTTTCGCAGTTTTTCTTCGCTGCTTTTTGCGTTTGTTTGCCTTTTTTGCTGGTCGTTGGTGGCGAAAATAAATGAAGCCATTCGAGCGCAATCAGAATTTCGCATTAAAGCGTGGCGCACACGCATTGCCAATGCGATTGTCAGATTGAGAACACCATATATATAGTAATCGTGTTCGAGCAGCAAAGTCAAAGTTGAAACGGTTATTTCAGCTCAAGAGGATGCCTTGGGTGGCAGAGTGTGGCACTGCCAGGTAGAAAAATTGTATGGGTGATCAAGGAAAAAAATCGACGACAGGTGGCAAATGGAGTTAAATAAATAGTACTGAAAACTAATATTTATGGATATGGTTGAAACCACGAATATAAACTGTAAGAAGTGGGGCTCCAAAAATTTCATAGATTTTTAACTGTTTAAAATCCCATCGATATTTAAGCAAAAGCACCACAATATTTAATTAAAAAAGCTAAAACATCGGAATATTTAAAAATTTAAATTAATAATAAAATACAAACAAACATTTTGAAACTAAAATTTAATCGCGACCAGAAAATCAAATCGAATCGCGAACAAAGAAAGAATGTTAGCGTAAATACTGGAAAAGAGAATGAGATAAAAACAAAAATAATTTATTCCACATGACGTATGCTACAGGCAGAAAATGTAGGTTATTTGATAAAAATAGAGAGGTGGAAAATGAGATAAAATTCAATTTAGTGAAACCAAAATAGACCAAAGCTAGATGAAACATTGAATTTCAAACTTTATAAATACAAGCAGATAAAGTAGAACAAGTTATATAAGTGTATATATCACATTTTTCATTTGCAATCCTTAAATTTACTTCATTATTTCGCTTCCGTTTTGCTGATTACAAAGTCCTTTGGGAAGGGTGCAAAAAGAGTAAACTGCAGGCAGGCACTTGAGAACTTGGCTAAATGAAAGGAAACAAGAGGCAACCAAACCATCAGCGTCTGTTTGCTTGGTTGTCTTAACCGCCGAGCTCTAAAAACCATTTACAGTTTTCAGTTAACTCGCAAGGCAAACGCAATTGCTGCGTGCAAAATAAATAAATACTTTGCTAACTTTCAACAGTCAGTCGTGTTTTTGTGAACAGCTCGCAAATTGAACTTAAACGTAATGCAGTGGCACTACATCTTATTTCGGTTACTGCCACCGACACTGAAACCCTCTGGCTTCAACCTTTAACTGTTGCTGGGGCAGCTTTTGTCTCGATGTTGGCCACAAAAAACTGTCTCTACCAAATGAAATTAGTGTCAAAACGCTGGTTCTGCAAGTGCTGCATGCCTCGTCAAATCCGTTTCCGTGGCAAATGGCACTGGGGAAGGCTCGAAGGATAGCGACAGACAGGCGACAAGTTCTGGTCGAAACATAGGGCGTCCTGGCCCAAAAGTGGGCGTAATCGCTGGCATCGTAATGGCGATTCCAATGCCTCTGGCGGTCTAGCAACCAACAGACAGCAACCAACAACCAGCAACTAGCAACAGCTACGAGTATATCTACAACTACAACATCATTTCACTATGGTCTAAGCTTGCACTGGAAAAAATTGCTTACTTCGTTTTTAGGTGAAAGAAGATTGGAACATATCAAAAATATTTAAGTAAACTAGGTAAAGTCAATACTAATTAAATTAATAAATAAAACTTCTGAAAAAAAACGGAAAAACAAAAAATATAAAATGTGATTTTTTATTGATTATATGATGGTGTCTAAAAAAAAGATAATAAAATACTAAGTTCACATTTATAAATAATGAATATTCTTAACCAAAAACATACATCCAAAAATCTAGAAGTCCTTTTTTTAGGAATAATGATCTAGAACTTGAGCCAACCCATATAATTCAGTAAAAATAACAACATTTTTGGCAGTTTGTGGTTTTCTCTGATCAAACAGACTTTAAAGTAGTTTTTGAACTACAAATCTTTTACAAAATTGTACACATTTCTTTCGTGTGTACTTCTCCCAGTAGCTGTTGGTGTATTTTCTTGTTGCCAATGCCTTTTAAGTTGATTATGGGCTCCAAAAAATAAAAAAGAGGTAGAAACAACAAAATAAAGGACAGCCGGGGAGAGTGGGAAAAAAGCGGCGCCGTTGTGCTGAATGAAATTGATGAAGTAGTTTGAAAAGCTGCTGCTACTGGCGCTACTGTTACTGCTGCAGCTTTTGCTTGCGAGGAAAAAACCCTTCCTGACCAAGGTAAATAAGCCTTGTTTTTGCCTCCTGCTCTTTGCAACTTGTTTGCTGCTAAGTTTTTGCTTTGGGCCGGCCGCGCTTTCACCTGCAAATTGAATGGGATTTCGGGCTGCAGTCTGCGAAGTGCATTGCCCTGAGAAAAGGAACAGGGACAATGGAGTGCATGAGCTGCAGTGCTTTGTGGCCGAATGGAGTCGTTCCTCTTAAATTGCGGCCGCGCTTTGATTAACTTCAATCAGCGCTGGGGAATCGCTTTCAAAATTAAAATTTATTGCCAATTTGCGGCAAATTCGATTAAGCTTAGGCTCTTCTCCATTTTTTTTTTTGTGGCGCACAAAAGCCAAAGCAGAGCAGGAAAAACACTCAGCTGGACATGAAACATGAAGGAGAAGGAAGTCTGGGCATTTAAATCCAATATGTAAATGAAAGCAAGATGGGGAGCAGCAGGATCAGGCCTGGACTCATCCTCCCCCCGCCCTCCGCCCCCCTGCTCGAACTGTTGAAAAGCTGTTGAAGTTTATTGGAAAAATATTCAAATCACGTGGGTGGTCTCAGCTCATCGCCCGGCAACGAAGACTTCCTCCTGGCTGTGTGATAAAAATGGCCAAGAAATTACTTATAGATTGAATGAAATCGTCAGGCCTGGGACTCCACTCCCGACCAGGTTCATTCTGTGCTCTGGTTTTCCTTGCAACATTTTTGATCAATTTAAATGCCCGGCTAAGACAATAAAAAGTCTTATTGGACCGGCTTAGCTGGGGATTTCAGGAGGCCGAAGCCGATGGCCCCGTCGCCATTCGCATTGTTTTTGGCCCAGATAAGCGTGCAATTAAAATTGAAGTCGGCTTTTTGGCCTGGCAAATGGCGAAATGATGTACACGGTGGCCCGATGGTCGATGGCTCGAAAAACTTATCTAATAAGTGTCAGTTAAACACAACGTGGGGCACAACGTGCTGCGGCTGACCCCGACCTCAACGCAAAAGTTT